TTGTTTGTTAATGTATTTATCCTTTTAGCAAACTACACGTGCTTGTTCATGATGATGATATTGAAATGTTCTCTGATGTAATTTAGTAAGTAATGCCGAACATACACATAAGTCATAGACAGTTATTTGATATTATGGAAAAGAATGAAGTTAGAGAGAGAGAGGAAGTAGAATAATGATAAAACAAATCTTTGATGATTTTATAGAAGAAACATATCTAATGGCAAGAAGAAAAAAAAAAGAAAGTAATCCTTAAACATTAAATGAAAATTGAAAAAGTTGAAATGTATATATATATTCATTTTTCAAATGTTAATCACTTGTTTCATTTTCTAAACAATCAATGTCAAAATCATTCAATCAATATAGACAAAAAATCTTTACAAAATTCATGAATATTTTATTTTTGTATAAGTTAAAACTGAAATATTGTATTATTTAGTCGTAATAAATCAAGTACTAAATAACACTGCAGAATATAAAATTCAATTTGTTGGGAAAATAACTCTCTTGTTTTATAATTAAACAACGCAACGATATAAGTTATCAAAGTAGAGAGAAATATATTTGCTTTTTTTGATGAGATTTTTGCATCGATTCATTCATAAGAACTTTTCTAGGCACTGTTTACAGAATGAAAATGTTAAATATCATGATATTGCTTTAGAAATATTCTATTTAAAAAAACAACAAGTCTCGAGATTTTTTTGAAATAAAAATCTAATCATTTATTATAATTGGTTTGTTTTTAATCATGATTTTGAAAAAATAAACTACGTCAATAAGTAATTTTCTTTTTATCTTTAAACGACTATATAAGACAAATGACATATTATGAATTTCTCATTTATTAAATATCAACACTGGTTTACACACAACATGTTCATTGTCACAAAAACAAAGTAGAAGATACAAAGATTTTCTTAAAACAATGAAACAACGTACATGTATCAATATTTTCATTGTCCTTGTTATATTAGCAATAGCAATATCACTTCTTATTTACTTTCTACATCATTCGAAAAAACATAAAGTTGCACCAATTGATACATTTAATACAACAACTACTGGTACCGTTACAATTGCAAATGGTTAGTTTGAATTTTGTTTATAATTCCATAAATATTCATTTATTAATCTAGGTGATGATAATAATAATAATCAATTAACAACTGGTTTTACAACAAAAACAAACTCAACAAGTAAAGATTAGTAAATAAATTTGTAAAACTAGATAATTTACTTTTTTCAGATCAATTCAATAACTCAACAACAAGTACATCATACGCAGTAAAAGATTCGACATTTCGTATGTCGACAAGTAAGTTAGCTTTTGTATGAGATAATTACTAATTCTTCATTTCAGATACATTGGTAACTGTCTCAACAAAAACTGTTCAAAGTATGTCTATTCATTGTTTTATTTTATTATTATTCTTCATTTGTTTTTGAGATGCCGTACAATCCAATTTTCAAACAACAAATATGGATACTACAGGACAAAAGATAACAACGTCTGGTAATGGTAAGTCAATTTTTATAGAGGGAAAATATTAGATTCATTACTTATTTGATTTAGCTCAAACATCAATCTTCATAACAAGTATATCTTTAATGATAAGTAGCGTGAATAATTTAGATAATTTTTTTTCAAGGCACAATGAAATCTAGTCTTTATACAACATTAGCGAGTAGTGCAAAGCAAAATGCCGGAACAACTGATATAACTCAATTAACAATGACAAACGAACAAGGTATTTTTTGAAAGTATTATTGAAAACTTAATTATAATTAAACTTTTGTTTTTTAGATGGAATAACAAGTAAAACTATTTTGAAATAATAAAAAAAAGAAATGAAAAGATATTATTTGTTAGGTACAAATCAAAACACTGCTGGAATAATAGGTATTGTAGAAATTATTGTAGAATTGATGAATATTACAATAAGTGAATTGTTTATAAAAAATACTTGTCTTTATAGTTGACAGTGCAAATTTTTCTTTTATATCGTCGAACAACACTATAGCTTAGATTTCTTTCGAGAGATATCTTAATAATCCCTAGTATTTTTACTATGATTAACATATTGTAGGAGTGATAGTGTAAATATCTAGACTTAAATCATATTATTCATTTTAATAGAACAAAGTTTCAAAAATAAGAGAAACTTAACATTCTAACTTCATTTTTTTGTAATTTTCCTTTCAGGAAAAACAACAATTGCATCCTCAACATCACTTACAGGTATATCTAATAATGGAAATCTAATGAATATCAGAAATATTTTTTTATCAGATTTGAAAACGCCAGAGGATAAGATGACAACTACAGAACAATCTAAGCTATTATCGACAATCTTGATGAGAAGTACTCTTCAGACCTCACTGAGCGATGTGATAACTGAGACTTTCGAATCCTTACAACCAATAGTAACTACGAGTAATTCTCAATTTTTATTGACAAAAATGACTGTTTATAGTTCGCAATCGTCATCAGTAACTACAACAATAAATGCCCCGACATATCTATTCGAAACAGCAGCACCGTCTGCTTCAGAATCATTATCGACAACTATGAAGTTAGATATATCTGAGTCTGCTTCAAAAATGACGCCAATAGATAGTTCTCCGTTTCGTTCAGCATCGTCAACAAAAGATAGTTCTTTATTATCATCGATGTCTACAGCAACAAGTACTTCTGAGTTCATATCAGAATCTTTGACAACAGTTAAGTCAGTATTACCAATATCGACAATGACGGCAAGTAGTTCTCAGTTAACATCCGCATCAACAATAATAGATAGCTCAATAATGTCATCGACACCTGTAGAAAGAAGTATTTCACCGTTCACATCAGAAACCCTGACAACAGATAGTTCTTTGTTATCATTAACCACAATGCCAGCAAGTAGTTCTCCGTTAACATCAGAATCATCAACAATAGATAGTTCAGTGATGTCATCGACACCTATGACAACGATTAGTGCTGAGTTAACACCAGAATCTTTAAAAATAGACAGTTCTGTATCAGCATCAATATCTATGATAGTAGACAGTACTCAATTGACAACAGAATCTTCTACAGTTTTTAGTTTAGCATTATTATCGATAATTACGGGAACGAGTAGTACTCAGTTAAGGTCAGAATCATCGACAACGGATAGTTCAGTAGTGTCATCGACACCTATGACAACGACTGATGCTGAGTTAATACCAGAATTTTTAACAACCGATAGTTCCGTATCAGCATCATTATCTGTGACGATAGATAGTACTGAGTTAACATCGGTATATTCGACAACATATAGCTCATTATTATCGTCAATAATCATGACTAGAAGTAGTACTCAGTTAGTGTCCGAATTCTCAACAACAGATAGTGCAGTAATGTCATCGACGCCTATGACAACGAAGAGTGCTAAGTTCACATCAGATTCTTTGACAACAGATGGTTCTGTGTCAATATCTGTGATAACAGATAGTACATATTTGACATCAGAATCTTCGACAACATACAGTTCATTATTATTATCGATAATTACGGCAACGAGTACTTCTCAATGGACATCAGAAACATCAACGGATACGGGAAAAGATAGTTCTCAATTTACATCAGAAACTTTGACAGTAGATAATTCAGTATTACCATCAACAACAATTTTAGGAAGTAGTTCTCAGTTAACATCAGAATCTTTGACACCAGATAGTTCAGCCTCACCATCTGTATCTATCGAGACACAGAGTTCTCAATTGACAAAAGAGTTTTCGACAATAGTTAGTTCGACGTTAAACTCAGAATCATCAACAACAAATAGTTTAGTAGGGTCATCGTTAGCTATGGCAACAAGCAGTTCTCAGGTAACATCAGAATCTTCAACAACAGTTAGTTCATTATTATCATCGAGACTTAAGGAAACGACTAGTTCTCAGCTCACATCAGAATCGTTGACAACTGATATTTCAGTATTGTCATCGATACCTTTAGTAGCGAGTACTTCTCAGTTTTCATCAGAATCTTTGATAACAGATAGTTCAGTATTGTCATCAACATCCACAGCATCAAGTAATCTGAAGTACTCGTCGATAACTATGGCTATACAGAATTCTGAGCCATCAGGGACAAGTATGATATCAAGTAATAACGATGTCTTGTCCAAAACTATGACGACAGAGAACTCTAAATTTTCATCAACAACAATGAGTACCGATCATTCTCAATCGTTACCATCCAGTATGATTACGGCTAGTTCTCAGACATCAGCTCCATCCATAACAATAGGTAAAGTGTAATGTTTTACAAGAAATATTATAAGAGTGTTTATTCAGATTATTCGAAAAGCGGCTCGTATCTAATCAGTTCAACCGACAGTAGTATGCAACCAACGACAGCCTCCATGAGTAAGTTAACATCTTAAAATTGTCACATATGATAAAGTATCGTGAAGATTCTCTTCTAGCTACACAATTTTTTGAATAAAATAAAAGTTTTAATGTTATTGATAAGTCTGTATGTAATGAATCAATTTAGATAGTTTTCTCTAATAAGTAAGGTGACTTCTATATATGAAGTGAAATAAATGTGAATCTCATTTGCAAACTGTGGTAACTTCCACAAATACTCAAATACGAGTATTGAGCATGTAGAAAGCGAAGTGGAAACGAGTAAATCTAGTCTGTATTTAACTCATATATATAATATTTTATTATTAGATTGAAATTTTAGTTTTATTCCTATAACTATAACATCTGAGGCTAATGTGAATTCATACAATTTTGTTTTTGCTAATCATTTGTTTTACTTTGTAGGCGTAACAATAACAACAACAGTAAAGACAGATATGTCAACAAGTATGCATCTTAATTATTAATATAACATAATAAAGCGGTAATCATTTATTTTTAGCAATGGGAATAGCCAGTACACAAGTTACAAATATTCCATCATCTATGAAAATCACTAGCACAATGATGAGTAAGTCATTCACAAAGATTACCATACACAATTTGTGTAAATAGAATTATAGAGAATTGCTTAAGAATCGTTCAGTCATGAATTTTAATATAATTTGATGAAATGTTTATTTGTCATATATACTGAGAGAATACATATTCTCTAAAAAGAGTATTATCTTAAGATATGCTTTTTAATCTATGTTTTTTATGAAGAAGAAAAAGAAATGAATAAGATTATTTTATATTTACAGGTAATAATGTTCAAACATCGACTTCTAATCAATCGGTCTTTTCGAATTTCAATACATCGCTAAATACCGGGCGATCTAACTTTGGAAGTGTATTATTAGCAAATGGACAAGTTCTTGTAGCTGGAGGTCTTATTAATTCCAGTTCTTTAACTTCAGGGACTGAACTTTATACATCAACCGGATGGCAATTTGCAACTCCGATGAAAGTAACGCGTGATTATCATACTGTCACTGCTTTTGCAAATAATACTAAAGTATTAGCTACTGGTGGTAAAATTACATCCGCTTACCAAACTGCCGAAGTATATAACATTGTGAACAATACATGGACACTAACATCAACTAATATGTCAAGTTCTCGTTACGCACATACAGCTACACTACTTGCAAATGGACAAATACTCATTGCAGGTGGAAAGAATGCTTCAGGTGTAAGTATATCTGCAGCTGAGCTTTATATTCCATCATCAAACTCATTTATTAATACAACTAACATGAATATAACACGATCTTATTTCACCAGTACACTTCTTAGTGATGGATCAACTGTACTTGTTACAGGAGGTGTTAATGCTAGTAATTATCTCATTACAACAGCAGAACTCTATATTAATGGCTCTTGGACACTCTTATCTAATAGTATGACTATAAATCGAGCTTATCATGCTGCTGTATTATTAAATGATGGAACTGTGTTAGTTGCAGGTGGAGGTGGAGGTGACGGTGGAACACTTGCATATCCAAATGCTGATATTTATAATCCAACAACAAGAAACTTTACAGCTGTTGGATCAATGCAATATCGTCGAGGAGCATTCACACTTACACTTCTACCATCAGGTAAAGTATTAGCAGCTGGTGGAGCTGATTGGACAACAAGTACGTATCCACTAGTATGTGAATTATATGATCCTGTCACAAGAACGTGGTCAAATACTACTATGTTAAATCATGGAAGAAGTTATCATCAAAGTGTTTTAACAAGTACTTTTGTATTAATTATGGGTGGCTATGATGGAAATAATAATAGACTTACCAGTTCTGAAATATACAATTTATGAAACATTATAATTAATATTAATCAAGCTATCATAACATTTTTTCTTTTTAAATCAAAATAATGTATCTCATACACTAAACTATATTTAATAAATAAAAACCTAATATTTTATTTTATATTTATTCTTAATATAAGTAATATAAATATGAATTAGTAATAGTTAACTGAAAGATCCATTTTTTTGTATCAAATATGTTAGTTTTGTAACTAAGAACAAGAGAACTTTATATTGGTGTTTATCGAAGACTTGAAAGAAATAACATCATTAAAATATCATTTTATGCTACAGTAGACTTACAAATTGCATTCTTACAAGGCAAACATGATGATAGTATATTTTATTAATACTAACAGTTTTATGACTAGATATTGTATTGGCTACTGATGTTGTTATTAATTAATTTATTTATTTATTGAATAAATATCACAATTACAAAATGAAAAAGAATTACATAAGAAATAAAAATATGATAGAATATTTAATCACTAATTAAGAATATTATAAAGTATCGGGTAACATTAATGAAATATTATTATTAGAACCTTTACGAAATTCAACTTTTCCTATGTGATCCCAAATAATATTGATAATATATTTATGTTTACCAAAATTAGCTGAGATATATCGTTGTACATCGACGACGAAATTCGATCTTTAACAAAAAAAATTATATAAATTATATATATATTAATAAATATTTATAGTTTTCATACGATTTGTGTTTAAAGGTGTGTGGGTGTGAGGTATTTTACTCCTCTTGTATTCACAATCATACCTCCAATCACACCCACACTTACAACCACCTTATATCATTTCTATATTGTTATTCTTGCTCTTTTGTATGTACTTGTTAATATTCCTCAATAAACTGTTTAATATTGATATTATATGAGTTTTTCTATAAAAGCTGGAACCAGCATATTATGATCAAGGTTTTAATATGGTGTGTCGACGAAGTGTCGTATCAACGAAATTCTTGTTAACAAAAGAACTTTCGATCAATAACATAATTACCGTAGAATCTATCAGAAGAGAGAAACTAAGAATTAGTTGTAATAAAATCTATTATGAATTTGATAACCAGAATATATGTTACATTACCACAACTTGACTTTAAGAGGTTTATAGATAGAAAATAATATTGTAGCCAATAAATCCATGTGTTGTAGTGAAATATTTATGTTGAGTATGGTAATCTCCATTAAAAGCTTTACCCTAGTTTTTCGCAGAGGTAGAATAATCTAGAAAAGTATTGACTTTTAAGTCTATGTTTTGGTGACCAGAAAGTTACTTTTATCATAGTAATACATCACATGATAAATAATCATAAGAATTTTTAAAAATTATATTAATGATAATATTATAAAAATGACGAGCTTGCAGAATACATAATAAGAAAAATTGTGCTGTACAGAAGTGATACGATCATACTTTAAAACTTATCAATCACTACGTGACGTGAAATATATCCATGAAAACTGCTGGAAAGAGGTTAAAATCAATATTTTCAAAGATTTTATTTGTTTATTATGTGCCAAAACTTCAAAGTATCATTATGGTGACCAAAACTCTTAAAATCGGATATAATAAATATCGATTATCTATACTAATCTACAGTTCAAATCAACCAAGATCACTCTTAAGTATGAACTACTAATTTTTTCTGTCACAAATAAATTCATTAAACTAATATGGCTCGTTGTCACTAATGGTCAACAGAAGCTTTTTAAATTTTCAGCTACATAAACACTTTGTAACACAATTTCCATAAATGGTAAATGTGGTAGCCGGAATATAATTAAGTCTCGGGTAGAGAATGTTCTATAAAACTGATTGTTACTTGACATTGAAAGGGTATTTTATATCTAAAAAAAACTAGTTTGTATCCATTGCAGTTAATTATTACTGCTTTTTTTGTAGAGAATTTAAAATTTAGTTTCAAATTAATTGCATCTATTATAAAAATCAAAAAAGCTAAATAACGGAAAAGAAGACAGAATAATACTATTGTGCATTGGATCATGAATCTGATGACCAGATTACACTACACGAACATGTAATATCTGTATAAGATTCGTATTATCAAGCTGATAAATAATATATATTTATACTACGATGATGCTATATTATTATGCTCAGAACACGTTTAAATATCTTTGTAACATAAAAATATTATAAATTATACCGCATATATGCAATTCTTACTAAACTCTAACTGAAACTATGCTTGAAAATGTATGATATGACTATTGGAGCAGTAATAGATTATAATATATATTATTATAGAAAAATCTTATTTGGCCACCAGAATATATCTTCATTGATTGAGTATCTCTCAATGTGAAAATTCTTTAGAGAATGATTTAGAGAACCACAATTTGTGGCAAATAATAAACATTCTAATTATTCCATCTGATCATATTCTTGAATAAATGTTGAAAGATTTCATGACAACTAATTGTTTGTTAATGTATTTATCCTTTTAGCAAACTACACGTGCTTGTTCATGATGATGATATTGAAATGTTCTCTGATGTAATTTAGTAAGTAATGCCGAACATACACATAAGTCATAGACAGTTATTTGATATTATGGAAAAGAATGAAGTTAGAGAG